TACACACAAGCACACACACACACGCACATACACACACGCACGCACACACACACACAAACAAACAAACAGACAGACACACAGAGCTGATAATTTATGGTTGGTCGCACGCATAGCGTCACAACAACAAAAACATTCAGAAAGATGAGTTTTAATTTATTGAACTGGATTGCTCGTTGTGATTTTTTACCTTCATCGTAACTATTTTTATCGTTATTATTATTATTATTATTATTATTATTATTACTACTACTACTACTACTTTTACTACTACTACTACTACTACTTTTATTACTACTACTATTACTGCTGCTACTACTACTACTATTACCACTGCTATCATTATTATTTATATTATTATTAATTTATGGCTATTATTATTGTTATTGTTGTGGTAATACCTTGTGGCTGATATGCTCTTATTGTTATCTTTCATAATGTTATTATTGCTATTGTTGTTATTATTGCTATTGTTTTGGTCGCGCAATTTTAGCATTAAAATTTGTATTCCCAGATATTATTACTATTATTTGACGAGCGAACAATGAGACAAAAAAAGACCAAAGAACAAAAACACGGTATGGATTTATTCTTCTTTGTTGTCGTCATCGTCAGTGCAATCATCAACACCACCATCATTATCATTATCATAATCAGCATCATCATCATCATTATCAGGAGCAAAACTACCGACTTTTTCAGAGTTATGTTGTTGAGATTGTAAATTATCAAGCCAGGTATGTGTGCGTGTGTGATGTGTGCGTGTGTGTGTGTGTATTCATACATACAAACATACAAACATACATACATACAAACATACATACGTACGTACAAACATACATACACACGCACATACAACTAGTACATACAATATTAAGTGCCAATGACTTAGAAGTAAAAAAAATAAACAACCTCCTTTCATCCGTCCATCAATTTATTTATTCATTCGTCTACTCGTTCGTTCTTTCATTCAAAATTTCTAGTTTGTTCATTTATTCAATCATTCATTCGTTCTTTCTTGCTATCGTTCGTTCGTTCATTCATTCATTTTTTCATCCATACCTTCATACACGCAAAAACACACATACGTGAATATATACACATACTATCAATACTTACATAAATAGACATATACACACACATACATACATACAAACATACAAACAAACAAACATACAAACATACAAACATGCGTATATAAAATCTTTTTAATGATTAATCGATAAGAACCGAATCCAGTGGAATGTCAATAAAAAATAATAATAATAATAATAATAAAAAGAATAATAAAAAGAATAAGAAGAAGAAGAAGAAGAAGAAGAAGAAGAAGAAGAAGAAGAAGAAGAAGAAGAAGAAGAAGAAGAAGAAGAAGAAGAAGAAGAAGAATATAGACTAATAAGAACGAAAGCATTAACGTTAAAACGGATACCGATACAGACATACAGACGTACATACATAACATACATACATACATACATATATACATACATACATACATACATACATACATACATACATACATACATACATACATACATACATACATACAATACATACATACATACATACATACATACATACATACATACATACATACATACATACATACATACATACATACATACATACATACATACATACATACATACATACATACATACATACATATTTAATATACAGTCAATATATAATCAGACAGTATTCTAGTTCAAGGCATTATTGTTATTATGTCTTCAAGACATATAAATTAATATACATACATACATACACACATATATACAAACATACACATACATGTATATAAATTATTTTTATTACATTGAAAACCCCGTTCGCTGAGTTTATTTTTATTTAAAATTTTTAATGTGTTAAATATAGAATCGATTGTATGATAAATAAAAGATAACGTGTTTCTGATTATTTTAGCCTATTTGTAATAAATTCGTTTGTTTGACTTTTGTCAGTTTATTTATTTTTGTTTGTTTGTTTATCAGTTCATTCGTTCGTTCGTTCGTTCGTTTGTTACAAGAAAACTATTTGTTGGCACAACCGTTACAACTCTTATTAATAACTCTAACTAAAGAAGAGCACGGATTATCATTATTGTCACTATTATAATTATTGTTATTATTATTGTTTTTATTATTACTATTATTATTATTACTATTATTATTATTACCATCGTCGTCATCATCATCACAACAACAACAACTACAACAACAACAACTACAACAACAACATTGGTAGATCTATTTATCTGAAAAGACCAGAAAGATCTGAAGAGTGAACTGCAATGATATCAAACAAAATAGATAGATATCATTATATATAGATAAATACAAACATCAACAACATCATCATCGTCGTCTTCATCATTCTCATCATCATCATCATCGTCGTCAACAACAACAACAACAATAACAACATCACTATCATCACAAATATCATCACTATCATCCCCACGCATGCATGTATGCCTCCATCAAGCACACAGGCGGACATTAGGCTACTAAGGCAAACAGCCGTGACAACGTCATTAATTGCCCTCTTCCTCCTCATTGGTTCGTTCTATTTCCGCTTTTGTCTTCACCGACCAATCACCGTCGTCGTCATTTTATGTCATTGTTATTGTTTATTTTTTACTCGGTCATAATTGCTTAACTATGGCACGTTCCTACACGCACATACACACACGCACACACACACACACACACACACACACATTCATATGTAACATACACACCACACGACTTGACGTACACACAGTTGTACACGCCCTAGAGACGCACAAAATATTCTGCCTGTCTGATGTTTAACAAAAATTTCACATTCAGTTTCGCGGTTTTTTATAAAGCCAGAGCAGACAATAATTTGGAATTCTAGGATAATAATTTGTTGATAATTGTGAGTTGTGAATTTATTTTCTCATTTGAGAGATCTGAATTCGAAGGAGGGTTTGAATATTATCTCGACGATAAAAATTGTTGGATGGTCATGAAATGCAACAACTTTCCAAATGACTTGTCATTCATTCTAAAAAATACAATAATTTTCACAATTTTGGTTTATCTTGTATTTGGCCTTCTGCAAAATTCACCATTTGGTGCATTCCTAATATGCAGGCTAGCACACACAGCAATGTATAGCAGCTACCAGATGGTATTAAACCAGGTCACGACGTAATAACGACGACGTTAGACAGGCGCTTCTAACATATGAGCTAATTTGCTAATGTATAAATGTACGCGTGTGTGTGTGTTTGTGTGTGTGTGTTTGTAGATGTGTGTGTGTTTGTAGATGTGTGTGCGTGCGTGTGTGTGTTTGTATGTAATTGATATTTTTATTAACATCCATATCTGCTTTCATCGTGAAATATTATTCGAGACGTCTTTCTTTCTTTTTTTTTAATTCAATTTTTATGCTTTTACATTTTTATATGTGTTTTTTTTTATGGCAGATCTTATTTCAACGGATACAGGTGAGTACTGATAATGATGATGGTGATGATGATGATGATGACGATGATGATGACGATGACGATGATGATGACGATGACGACGACGATGATGAAATTAATAATAATAATAACAACAACAACACACCACATAACATTCATTAATAAAGATAATGTCAATCGTACAGCAACTAACAATAGACAACAACAATAAGTAACAACAGTAATAACAATAACAACAACAATAATAATACATTTCAGATTAACTATTAACACTGATCCATGTTATATCCTTCTCTTTCTTTTTCTATCTCTTTCTCTTTCTCTCTCTCTCTCTCTCTTACTTTCACTTTCATTCCCTCTTTTCTTTCATTTTCTTACTTTTTCCTCTATTATTTTCCACGTTTTTTATTTTTGTTGCTTAATATCAATTTTTCTTTATTCTCTTTCTCTCTATTTCTCTTTCTCTCTCTCTCTCTCTCTCTCTCTCTATTTTTAAATGTTTTCTCTTTCTTTTACTGTCATTTTCATTTATGTCCGTTTTTCATCATTAGTTTGTCTCTCTCTGTCTCTCTCTCTGTCTGCCTGTCTGTCTTCCCCCCATCTCTCTCTTTTTTTCTCAATCTCTTAATTTTATCTCCATAAAAATGAAACAAGCTTTCTAATTGGTCAGACCTCATTCAGGTCACGTGTCCAGCTGATCAGCGATTGGTCGCCCCGATTCATTCAGAAAACGTCATCGTCAGTTGGAACATTGATGAGTTTGAAGTGCAATCGAAATATCCTATCAAGTTAGTGACCCTAATTATAATTATAGTTATAATTATAGTTATAATTATAGTTATAATTATAGTTATAATTATATCTATGTTATAACCTCAAATAAAGCTTCTTGACTACAAACGCCAGTGCTGTAGCTTCCAACGATCGTCAAATTATCGTTATTCCGTAGGTTTAAGATTCCTGATAGGTCAACAGAACTGCTTCAACCGCAAGCTTTGTTGGGCGTCTATTCAAATGCAAACAGAAATAGAAACACTCTAAACTAATCCAAGTAATCTAAGTAAACTAATCCAAGTAAACTAATCAGTGGTCAATCTAAGAGTTCCGCGGAACCCTGGTTCAAAAACACTGAAGTAACTGCATAAATCACATTTGCAACTTCTCTTTATGTATATAGCCACTAGTGTAGACTGTTACAATCTTCTATGGTGTGGAAAGATTCTATGCTCTTACATCCGATGACAAGAAGCAAAGATAACAAATATAACAAGATAACAGTAATTAATTATATAGCGTAATTCCTCCGTTAAAACAATATTATTTTTTTTTATTCTCCGTCTCAACCGTATGCCTGGATCCGTGCCATGTATTAGAAATGTGATGATACGATGCTCCGATTGGCTATAACGTCTGCTGCTCTGATTTATTATCGTTCATTGGTGATGACGATGATGGTGATGAAGATGATGATAACGATGGTGATGATGAAGAAGAAGATGATGATAACGAGGGTGATGATGAAGAAGAAGATGATGATAACGAGGGTGATGATGAAGAAGAAGATGATGATAACGATGGTGATGATGAAGAAGAAGATGATGATAACGAGGGTGATGATGAAGAAGAAGATGATGATAACGAGGGTGATGATGAAGAAGAAGATGATGATAACGAGGGTGATGATGAAGAAGAAGATGATGATAACGAGGGTGATGATGAAGAAGAAGATGATGATAACGAGGGTGATGATGAAGAAGAAGATGATGATAACGAGGGTGATGATGAAGAAGAAGATGATGATAACGAGGGTGATGATGAAGAAGAAGATGATGATAACGAGGGTGATGATGAAGAAGAAGATGATAATGATGACAATGATGATGACGACGATGACGATAATGATGGAATGGATAGTTATGATAACGCTGCCATAACTCGCCAGCCAGCCAATATATCAAGGACCTGGATAACCTTTTGAGTTTTAAATAAACAAACGATAGATGGAAGGAAGGAACAAATAAAGGAATGAAGAAACAAATACATGTACATACACACACACACGCACACATACACACACGCACACATACATACATACGAACACACAAACAGACAAACAGAGGTTTATGAGGAACGAGACCAGCGTTAAAAAAAGCTCTAAAACTCGGTTAAATCATATTGGATAATATAGATGAAAATTTTTTTTATTGTCGGCCTTTGTGTGCGACTATGTATGTCTGTATGTTTGTTTGTCTGTCTGTCTGTTTGTATGTATGCATGTATGCATGCATGTATGCATTTATGTATGTATGTAGGTTTGTTTGTATTTTTTATGTATGTATGTGTGTTTGTTTGTATGTATGTATATTAGTAGAATCGTGTTTGTGTTTACGTGTTAAGCAAGTAAGAGGTCATCAATCAAAAAAAAATTTTTTTCATGTAGAATTCAGTGGTTGATATTTTTAAATGTTATTTACTTGACATGTGAATGAATGAATGAATGAATGAATGGATAAATGAATGAATGAATGAACGAACGAACGAACAAACGAACGAATGAATGAATGATGAATGAATGAAAGTGTGAACGAATCAACGAATATATAATTGAATTAATGAACGAAGAAAAACGAAAGATTGAGTAACGAATCATTAAACGAGCTAACGAACGAACGAAGGAATGAATGAATGATTGATTGAATGGATGAATGAATGAATGATTGATTAATTGAATGGACGAATGAAAAAATGAATGAATGATTGAATGAAAGAATGAATAATGATTACACTGGCAGGTAAAAATGGTGTTGTTTTTGATGGTTAAATGTGTTACTGTTGTGAAGTTAGGTTAAAAGAATCACCCAAACAAACCATCTACATATCTACAAAGACGTTGTGTGTATGTATGTATGTGAGTGTATGTGTGTGCGTGTTAAATGTTTGCATTTATGTGTATGTGTAAGTGTATGTCTGTATGTTCTTCTTTATGTCTGTCTGTTTGTCTACCGAACGATCTGCCTAGCCGTGTAACTTAATTATATTCTTCTTTCTTTCTGTCACTTACTCTCTTTTTCTCTCCCTCTTTCTCTTTTTCTCTTTCTCTCTCTCTCTCTCTCTCTTTCTCTCTCTCTTTCTTTCTTTTGTTAATGATGTTGATGTTAGAGGTAAGAATATCCATTAATCAAGTAACTTATTAACCGTGTTGTGAATTATAATAATTGGATGGATGAATGGATGGATGGATGGACGGACGGATGGATGGATGGATGGATGGATGGATGGACGGACGGATGGATGGATGGATGGATGGACGGACGGATGGATGGATGAATAGATGGATGAATAGATGGATGAATAGATGGATGAAAGTGTGGGTGGGTTTGTTTTAATGGTTATTATTGGGCCTACAGCGTTACATAAATAACATTATTATTATTATTATTATTTGTAGTAGTAGTAGTAGTAGTAGTATGTTGTTGTTGACACTGATGATGACGTTATGATATTTTAGGAATGAATGAATGAAGGAATGAATGAAGGAATGAAGGAATGAATGAAGGAATGAAGGAATGAATGAATGAAGGAATGAAGGAATGAATGAATGAAGGAATGAACAAACGAACGAATGCATGAAGGAAAGAATGAATGAATAAATAATGGAAGGTATGCCAGATTTATTTAATTGCGTGGTGAAGTAAATAGATAGCTGATCGGTTTAATTAATGGACAAACAAACAAACAAATAAATAAAACAATGAATGAATGAGTGAATAAATGAATGAATAAATTAATAAGTGAATGAATGAATGAATGAATAAATGAATGAATAAAGGAAAGAAAGTTCGTTACAACAAAACAAATTTATATTAGCTAAATAAAACATCCAACCAATGATAACTTAACGAACGGACGAACGAATAAATAAAAAAACGAAAAAACTGAAAAATGGAATGAAAGAAAAAATAAATTATTATGTAAATGAATGAAATTATAAATTCAATTTTAAATAACATACTCATTTGATCTTATTTGCCTGTATGAAGTTTCGAACGTCATGTTATTTATTATAGCAAATATTATTACCGCCATTATCGTCGTCATCTTCATCACCGTCACCATCGTCATTATCATCATCATCATCATCATCAACGTCACCATCGTCATCATCATCGTCATCATCAGGGCGGTTTATCAGCAGCAGCCTAGATTTGATCCCGGACCGGAAATAAGAAATGACGTCACGGAGGGCTACCACCTTTTCGAGTTCAAGGTCGTTGACGTTGAGGGCAACAGTGCCATCTGTGTTGTTAGCGTCATCGTGATTGGTTGGTTAATGTTTGTGTCGGCATTCATTGGTTGTTTGACTGGCTGGTTGACAGATTGATTCATTGATTAATTGATTAATCTGTCGGTAGAGTGATTGATTGATTGACATAAAAAAAACTTATCATGTCTATTTATTTTTAAAATTTTTAATAAAATTTTTAAAATTAAATTATAATTATAACCAACTGCCACAAAAAAATAATTCTATTTTAAAGTCGTCACCTGTCCCGGTATAACGCCTCCCCCCATTGGTGACGTCACATGCGACAACCAATCACATTCGTTGCTGTACGGCACTCGATGTTCCCTCTCTTGCCCTACTGGCTACGGCAATTCGGGTCAGCCAGTAGAATGTCAGAGAAACGGGTCATGGTCGGGGTATGTGGGTCACTGTAAAGGTAGTCATTAATGATTATTTCAATACTTTTTTATTTTATTTTTTGAAAAAATCAAAGTTTTGAAAAAATAATGACCAATATTCATTTTGGCACTTTAAATTTTTAACCAGATGAAATCAAACTTCAAAAATTTAAAAAACGCCCCCCCCAAAAACCAAAAACAGTCCTAACCTGTCACGACCCGTCCACACCTCTACACTCCACACGGCACTGCACACACCCGCGGCACGGCACCCACCACTTCCACCGACACGAGACGACGTGTTACTACACGTGTCTACCCGGATATCGTCTGACCGGAAACAGCAGCAGTATCCAGTGCCTTGCCACAGAATTCGGCCGAGCCGAATGGACGCACGCGGCCCCAACTTGCCAAAGTTGGCTATTTTTTGTAGCACTTCATTATTTTTTTTAATTTTTTAATTTGTGTCATTTACGAAATGTTTTTCCTGTTTTATTCATCCAGGAATCATTCCACCAATCATAAACAACTGTCCAAAAGAACCAATATACTTGACCTCATTTAAGCCGGAAACGGATGTATATTCACCGGAAGTGACTTTTATAAATCGAACTTCGGGAAGGAAAATTGATCACGTTTGCAGTCATTTTTTTTCTTCAAACAAACGTGCTTTTCCCATTGGTCAGCACAATATCACGTGTCACATGACGCAGCCGGAAGTAGAGGGTGATGACGTAATGGCCGATAAGTTTGTCTGCCGATTTTTAATTATTATTGAAGGTCAGTTCATGTTAGAGCATTTGTAAAAAAGTAATTCTCATAAATAATTTTATAAAAATTATTTATGAGAATAATATAATATTAAATTTATTTTTTATTTCTCAATAAATAAGCTGATAAGTGCCAAGAATTACCTCAACCAATCAACGGGAGATTAATTTGCTCACGTGTTTCCGGCCATCTTCATCAACATCATAATCATCATTTTCCTCATCATCAAAACAGCAGTCATAATAATCATCAAACTCATCATCATCGTCGTCATCATCTTCGTCATCAACAACAACTACAGGATCACCATTATCATCATCACCACCGTCATCATCATCATCATCAGCAGCAGCACGTCGTTTCGTGCAAATATATTTGTGACGACGGTCTCGTTTATCCGCGAACATTCGCCAGCCAACTGGAAAAATTTGACTACACGTGCAGCGGAAGTGAAGGCGTCTGGCATCCGTTTCCGTTTGTTCCCGGATGCGTGGGTGTGTACAGGTGTTTTTAAAAATAACTATGGAAAAACATTTTAAAAGTTAACTTGAAATAAAATTTTCCAGTCCCGAGAATCCCGAATGAACTCAAACTTCCGGTTGAAATCTGGCAGAAACTATCCCCATCAACATCCGCCATCAATAACGTTACCGGCATAAAAACCCTGGCGACGATCAGTACCAAAAACACCGTAAACTGCGCATCCCTACTTCCGGGGGGCCTTACAAAATGGCGGCTTCTAAAGAAATCAAGTTTCCGGGAGATGATAATTTCTGAGAGTAAAGTGTGCTCAACCGTGCAGAAGAACTGCCTGATTGAAGATTTCACTGTGGAATGTTTTAGTGACGACGACGATGATGATGGTGGTGGTGGTGTGGGTGGTGTTGATGGCGGTGGCATGGGTGTTGGTGATGTTGTTCATCATGGTCATGATGATGATAGTCAGAAATCTGACCGCAAAAACATTAATAATAATGACAACAGCAGCAGCAGCAGCAATATCAATGATGGGATTCTTCGAAGATTAAAAAAGAATGTCAAGCCATCTGAAAATGACATAACGATTTATAATAATAATTATAATAATAAAAATAAAAAATATAGTCTCAGTAGTTCATCATTCCAGAGATCAACAACAAAAACGAGGCACGACAACAACAACAACGCTGTGAACATTTACAGTAAAACGTCATCGTCGAGGCACCGACCAATCAGATCGAGGTATAACATAGCAACGACCAATAAAATTCGACAGAGCAAACGCTCCGTCCAATCAAAAAACGCCTACATTTTAGTTAGGTTTAAATTCGCAACTAAAATTAAAACCCAGGCAAATACATTAAGAAATGACAACAACAACAATAATAGCATCAATTACAACAATAACAACCACAATCGTAAGAATAACAACATAAAAGAATATACTATTGAAAATTCGCAACAACATCAACATCAACAACAACAACATCAACTACAACAGCATCAACAACAACAGCAAGACAACGACCCAATGCACATATGGACTGAATCATACCACAAGACAGTTCTAACACTAGAATGTATGTTCAAGAGTCTACAGAGATTGCTTAAAACAGAGCAAATTTCGATTATAACCGAAACTAAAAGTGAAATTAACGACAATGACATCATCAACAACAACAACAGTAACAACATCTATAACATTAAAGTAAGCAAAAACGTCATCAATAATAACAACATCTACAACAACAATAAAAGCAACATTAATAACATGACAATAATTAAGCATGTTATAACAGCAGCTTGTGATTTTGAATACGAATATTATGAGCGCTATCTAGCTTGCGGTAAGTATGCATCATCATCATCGTCGTCATCATCTTTCTCACCATCATCATCATCATCACAACATCATCTTAATCACCATCATCATCATTTTTTTCATCATCATCATCATCACAGTCAAAATCGTCATAATCATCGTTACACCATCACCATGACAGTTCCGTGTGGTTCTGGAACGTATTACAACACATCAAGAGGCAAGTGCGTTCCCTGTCCAACTGGTCGAATCCAGCCCGAAGAAGCCAAGTTCAACTGCATATATAGCCATCAATGATGACGACGACGATGATGATGGTGGTGATGATTTTAATGATGATTGTGATAATGATAACGAAGGTATGCTGTTGCTGCTGATGATGACAATAACAGAGTGATGATGATGAGAACGTTGATGAAAAAGACGACGACGACGATGATAAAAATACGACAGTTGCTAATGTCCAAGCCTACGTTCACTCTTTAATTATTTATGGCCAGATCGTAACATACTCATCTTCATCTTCACCTTCACCATAATTTTCATCATCATCATCTTCACCATCATTTTAATCATCCTCACCACCATCATCGTCATTATCACTTTTATTAGAATCATCTCTATCATCTTCAATAACACAATCAACATAATCAGCAGTAGTTGCAGTAGTAGCGGTAGCAGCCACAATAACATCACCACCACAATAACTATAATCAAAAGTTTCATCATCACATCATCATCATAATCGTCGATATCATCATCATCATCACCAACTACAACATCATCATCATCTCGGCAACACACATTTGCAGGCAAACATAAATCTAGCCTGTGTACGTACACACATAAATAATACTAACTCACGCACAAATACGTACATACACTCACATACACACACAACACACACATACACATACATACACCCACATACACACACACATACATATATACAGACACAGTTTCTTGTAACGCTTTTTGTAAAAAATGCAAGCATTTAAGATAACAATATAGATGTATTATACAATATACATAATATATTATATATATATAAATATATATATAATTGTATGTATGTGTGTGTGCGTGTGTAGATGCATGCATGTGATATGAACGTTTTGTATAATTGTAAAAAACAGCATATTAGTGTATCTAGATATCTTTATTATCATTATCTTATCATTATTATTGCTATTATTAATAATATCATCATCATCATATTTTGCATGGAGCAATTACAGAACGAGAATTATCGCGATTAATCCATCCATCCATCAATCAGCCGGGAATAAAATGAGAGGAAATAAAAAAAAACATGTCTGACACCACATTTTTTTTGTATATTATTTAATCGTAATCATCGCAAGAAAAAAATTCGAGAGAGAGAGAGAGAGAGAAAGATAACGCGATAATAATGAAACAGAAATGAAACTAGATCGCTAAACACACACATACACGCACGCGCACACACAAAGACACACACACAAACGATCGATTGTTATTTAAAAATATAAATGCAGAAACACGCCAACACACATACAAAACACACACACATACACATACGCACACATTATCAAAAAAATGTAGAAAAATTGATGCAAAACTATGCTAGTCTTATTCAATTAATTAACACAGGGATGGGCAAACATTTTTCGGTGAGGGCCGCATGAGAACTATTTTACCTTTGAAGGGCCGCATATTTACTTAATTATCAAAGTTTTTCGACCCGGGGGAGAATTTTTTCAAGATTTGTGGCTTTTTTCTGGCCATAAAGTCTGGCTTTTGTGGACGAACAGGATGATTTAACACATAGATAGATGATAATATATAATCAAAGAACGATTCTTTTTAACAATATAGACATGAAAACAGGTGAATTAAGTAAATATAAAGCGCTAGGAACAATGAAAAGGATTTCTTGATAGTAAATTAGTTGAAATTGAAATATACATACGCACGTATATAAGCAAGAGATGAAATTATGCTGAGTAATTGTGACTAAATAAACACGAAATCATACAAATCAATAAAATTTGGAGAATGAATAAATGAATGGACGAACTAACGATCGACTGAATGAATGAATGAATGAAATAATGAATGAATGAAAAAATGACTAAACATGCGACTAAAAAATTGAATGATTGAACGAATGAATGAACGAACGAACGAATGAACAAATAGAAGAATGAATAAAAAATTTAATGAGTGAACACGTCAGCAAACAATCAAACACTACTACAGATACTAGAGCAATTGGGAAATTAATCTATAAACACAAAACAGAAAGAAAGTGTTGTTATCATTACATAACAACAATAAGAATAACAATAATAATAAAACTATTATTATTATGATTATTATTATTATTATTGTTATTACTCTAATCAGTCATCATCATTGTCGTCGTCGTCATCATCACATCACATCCATAATGATGGTGAAATTAATAATCCTCTCTCTTGAAGTCCAAGCATTTTCAACAAGAAAAATATACAAGAAACGTATTTGTAAATTTTCAAGTAAAATAAGTCACAACAAAAACAACAATAACAACAACAACAACAACAATAATAATAACAATAATAATAATAACAACATCAATAATAACAGCAAAAGACTATAGAATACTGTAGAGATAAGACTTCCATCAATAAACCTCCAAGCTCCATGACATCGCTTGGAATTTAATACCACAGATGATAACACGTAATACTTGGTGTGTGAGGGTAATGAATGTACGCAAATTATTACAAAAGTATTTATATAAATATGTAAAATTATAAATATGTATAAATATAAATATAACCGGATATAAGCATATATAATTAATACATATATATGAAACAACAGTCAACCAGCCAACCAGTCAACCAACCAATGAACCATCGATCAATCAATCAGCCAGCCAATCAATCAACTAATAAAGCAACCATCCAACCAACCAACCAGCCAACCAATCAACTAGCCAACCAATTAACCAGCCAACCAATCAACCAGCCAACCAATCAACCAGCCAACCAATCAACCAGCCAACAAATCAACCAATCAATCAGCCATCAACCAGCCAATCATATAACGGGTTACGTAAGAGAGGGAAACACGACAGAAAGACAATCAACGCTTAAAAGCAGTAACAATAGGGCCTAAGGTGTGGGTGCATTTCAGTGATACACTTAGGCTGATCCTTGTAAGCGTTCAATCTACTGATGTCGGATGTGGAGATGGTAAAGTCGTCATTCTTTAAGCTGTACTTTATCGTGGCCTCGTAGACGGCGAAGTTAGGCAGGGTGCTTAGGACGATCTGCGCGCGCGTGTGTTTTGTGTGTGTGTATTTGTGTGTGTGTGTGTGTGTGTGTGAGTTGCGACCAATTAATCGAATGATTAATCAGTCTGAAAGTCAATCATTTAATTATTTATCACTCAACTCGCCAACCAACCAACTTACCAGCCAGCCAGCCAATCAAAGAAACATCACCAACAACCACCATCCAACCTGGAAGATCTTAACGGTAGGTTGCATCTGATCAGTCATATCAGGAATTCTGCCATCCGAGTCTGAACTCTCCCTAAACTTCAACATCTCACCGTTCGACTGAATGAACGTGGCCGAAGTTAGCTTGTGGGGCGTTAGCAGAGCGCACATATCTCTAAAGGGACTGGTCAGATTATTGACATGGTCGACGATCAGGCCGGCCCCCCTCTGCACTAATTCATCACTAACTGAGATTTTGTACCATCTCAGGCAGGTACACCAGTGGGCATCAATGCTAGCGTCGTTACAGGTTCTGTCTGCTGGAACACGCTGTAGAAGACTGTAGCCTCTTTGGTATGGTCGACGTTTCGTTATGTGGGTCGACTGTTTGTTTGTTTGTTTGTTTGTGTGTGAGTTTGTTTGTGTGTGTGTTTGTTTGTATGTGTGTGTACGTTGTTGTGAGTGTAGGTTGGTTATGTCAGTGGTTTTTTATTGTTAAACACACACATACAAACACACAAACAGTTACAAATACACGCACGCACACACACACACACACACACACACACACACACACAATATATAAACATACATAAAACATAAAAAAAAACCACCGACCCTGTAATTTAGGACATCTTGAAAGGTAGCATGGACATCGAAAGGAGTGGTCAGTAGTTTCGAGTTCCTTTTTAAGTTTTCCTGGACCAATGGAAAGTTTGACCTGAACTCCTCGGTCTGTGGCACTCGGACTCCCATGAAGGGCAACCTCTCCTCATATTTGCCCTGCTCCGTCGCTCGAGTACTGGAGAATCTTTTGTAAGAGATCGCATGGTGAATGAATGAATGAATGAATCTTCCTTCTCGTCTTAAATCATCACCAGGATAAAAACACCAACCAACCTAGGCCCGTGATCGGCCATTAGAATAAACAGACTATTCTCCAGTTCGTTGGTACTGTTGAGCCAATCCATCAAAGATACTAAATCATCATCTGGAGTGGACAGTTGGTCCTGCGAATTATGTGAGTAGCTGGAGTGAAAGAGGAACGAAAATTTCCTCCTCAGAGGTCCATAAGCCGTGATGAATTCTTTGAGATAGTCAGTGAAGAGGGTGTGGGATGGCCGATTGCCGAAGCATATTCCGTCGCCTTGTTTCAGGAAAAATGGTCGCATGTAGTGATGTACTGGTTTCTCCTTGAAGCCAAGCATCCTGTGAGTGAAGGTGCCGACGGATGGAGCGTCCTCCCCCCACTGTTTGTACGAAGGAAAGTCAACAAGTTAATCACCTTAGAAAGTCTACGACAAAAACACGTTGAAAAAAAAATTTAAGAAACTATCAACTAAAAAACCAAAAATTATTTCAAAGCGAACCTGAGTAGCATATCCGTACTCGTGTAATTTTTTCCAAATCCACGGATGACCATCGACATGCCTGGCCTTCTTAAAACCCCGCCTAGCTTCGGGGAGCTCAATTTCAGTATTGCCAGTTAGGATGGGGATGAGTGCCTGAGGCGTACCATCTCCCAAGATGTTGTAGTGCTCCATGACTACCCCGCCTATTTTTTCAAAGTAACTGTAAGAGTTAGGCATGTATCTTTTCCACATCAATCTGGAAACAGTATCAAAACCAAACATGATGATGTTGAGGCCAAGGCCTTCCAACTTCAATCTGTTTTCCAGCAATTTGCTTGTAGGTTCCTGTGGTATTGGTTTGATCCCTAGGTATGTTTTATCATTCGTTTGGCCATCTGCACCCACACATCTGACGTGTATGATGTCAGAAGGGATGGGCGTGTTGTTGGTGATGGACTCTGATTTAGATAGTGTAATCTCCATGTCATAAAGCTGTCTCAAAACATTCTGATATTGACAGGATAATTTTCCGTGTTGCTTTTCAACATCATCATGTATATAGAACTTGCCATTTTGTATGTAGGACCAATCTTTTTGGTTTGAAGAACAATCAACTTTAGCGGTGTGTGCAAGCATGTCATTTTTTTGCTGTTCATTTACCCAAAGAGGTAACTCAGGAAGAGAGCAAGGAACCTTTTTTTCGTTTAAAGTTAAAACTTCTAAACCATCTTCAGACTGATTTGCTTTTAAAATCTTTCTACAGAAACTGTAAACGAGGAAGAGTAAAACTCCAATCAGGACCCATTTTATTATTTTTTTCCACTGAAACCTGTACAAAAACATCATGACAGGCAGGTCGTTTTACTACTTTTACTTTTAATTAGTTTTTATTCCAGTGTTGTAGACTGGGGCCAGCCAGGAGCCAGATATTATTTCTTATTTTCACTTTTTTAATTTTATATATTTTATGATTTTTCAGATCCTATGATATCTAATAATTTAAAATAAAATTATCTTATTTATTTATCATCTAACTTCTTGCTATGGTCTGAGTCAAACTGATGCTACCAAAGCTGCTACTATTCCAGATCAAATGGCAATGCAAATAAAATCCAATGTCAAACCAAACCAAACCAACTTTTTTCTTTTTCTCTCCTTTATTAATTTAATTGATTAATGCAAGTATATGAAAAAAAAAAAACATAATAGAAATCGTAAAACATCAATCAAAACACTGATCACTAATCAACCTCCTAATCGAAAAACTGACCAGAAGTGTCGTAAACAACTAAAAGATCAGCCGTCGTCAACGAGAAATTATTATAATGCATTCACTTTTAAATTTGGTCACAACACTTTATTTGTTTAGTATTTCTTTCTCTTTAACTAAGTCAAGTTTTGTTCGGAAAAAGATCAAAATGTTTTAAATAATAAATTGACAAATAAATAAAATATTCAATTCAGATAATCTTTATAGAAAAATATAATAAATACACGATAGCGAAAAAAATTCGAGCTTGCCAGGAGTCGAACCTGGAATCTTCTGATCCGTAGTCAGACGCGTTATCCATTGCGCCACAAGCCCTCACTGCTGATGAGTGTCAAACAAAGCTTATTGTTACAGTTAACCCATCAAAATAATTCACATACTAGCCAATACGTTAAACGATACTTAGCTCCGAGAAAACAATTTTTTTGACGAATCAACATTTTTCACAATCAACACACAAAGTAGTAAACGATATGTAAAACAAGTACATTCTAAAACTGCGAGCCAGTTCAAGCCGTAAGAACCTGTATCAATTTCCACTAAATTTCACGCCATCCAAATGCAAAAATTAGTGGAAAGAGCAGGAATTTTTACGAGCATGAACTCATCAGACGACAGACTGCGGTGTTTCACCGCTTTTGTCATGGCACCTTCATAAATGGCCCCACAGTTTTAATGAAATTATAGTCTAAAAGTTAAAAAAAATACCAAATAATGACGGGTACATAGTGAATAAACGTTATGTACTGTACAAACATTTAGTGTACAACGTTAGCATACAAATCGAATTAAATACGATTATTCATTATTAAATCAAATAAATATTTAGATTTTTAGATCAAATACACTATAAACAGATTAATAACACAGAAAAACAACATATGGCATACATTGAAAAATTTTACCATATATAATTACATAATCAATAACTACATTCAATTAACTATAATTAGGTAATTATTAATTATATTTAATTGATTAAGAATTAATTATAGAGGGTCGTCATCTCTGAATTCTTTATTTGATCTGTAGAGTTTGAGCTGAGAGTCAATCATGCCAAACAGTTCACTAAGTGTTGGTATTCTGCCTGACTCTAATTTTGACCATATTGGCATGTCTACAATTTAAAAGTTAAATTACATATTAAAAGTTAAATCTAGGTAATAAAAGTTAAAATAAGTTGAAAGTTCACAAAAAAATTGAATACTAAACAGTAGAGATGAAATAAAACTTATACATAAGTGCCAACATTTATCCTCTAAAACAAATACTATACCAAACTATATATAACTAAATATACATGTCATTAAATTCTGAATAACTATTGAATCAACCAAAAAATAACATACCAAAATAAATACCATACAAATATTAAAAATAATTAACTAAGCAACACATTAAAAATGTGTTGCTGTATTCATATACATGTGTGTGTGTGTTTTTTTGGGCGAGTGTGAGGTGTGTTATGTTATGAATCAGAGTTTAATCAACAGTCACCATTGAAGTAGATTTCAAAGGCTCCAGTTGACATTATGAAACCTTCTATAAAACCAACAAAGAAGAAAAGCATCAGGCAGGAATATATCTAAATCAATTATTGATATAATTAATTAATTAACTAATTATATAATTAATTAAATTAATGAATATAAAAAATAATTTTAATTACAAAAACCAGTCAATCTAGTCCTAAACTCTGATAACCTTATTCTGAAGAGCAGTGTAGTAAAAATTAGGAGTGGGTAGATTGAACCAAAGAAATGGATTTATGGAGAGAATAATGCAAACGATGAAAAACAATTTTGAAATATTTAAAAATTTAGCTGGGTATAAACGATGAGGGGGAGCAGGATACTCCTCTCCTTTAATGATCAACGAATCATGGTGGTTCTCATGGATGGCTTGGGCATATTGCTGGAAAGTCTTCTTGTAACCTCAGGAGTTACTGATGGAAGAATAAATTTAAATTAAGTTAAATTAAATTAAAATAAAAATGAAACTTGAAATATTTTCCTTTTTTTTTATAATTTTTTATTTACTTCACTACATCAAAAACATAAATGTAAACAACAAGCACATGAATGAAAAATACTTTTATATAACTGACAAATTTAATTTAAACGATTTACAAAATAAAAAAAAGAAGCAACTTTTGAAAATTTAAAGAAAAATGAAAACTCTTACCAAATTTTAAATGTTAACATAGGGCCAGTTGGCAACCTAGTGAAGGGAGAACTACTTATCTCTTTTTTTGTGGTTGCTTCTTCCGAAGACATGTTATTTTGAAGAGACTGATCTCCGGACTTTAGAAAATCACTAACAAAAAGGCCCAAACAGACCAAAGCAGTGTACGATATTAACGATACATCTGCCATTTTGGCTAACGATATTAAAAATAATATTATAGACAATTTAATATTATAATCAAAATATTGGTAAATGGGATTTATATTATGGTCTTAAAATTAAATAATGTTTACAATTAAATCAATTAAAGTAACATTTATAACAGAATTTTTAAAATTAAATTAAGACTAACAAAACTAACAAAGTCAAATTTTTTAAAAACTAATTTTACTTTTAGTTAACGATTTTTTAACATTTACTTCCGATCAATTCGGTAAATATATCATTTATGTTCGTATTTATGTCGTCGTAATTTTAAAAAGCTATTTCTAAATTTAAAAAAAGAATAAATATAATATTTTTTATTCGGAAAGAAAAACTTAAGCAGGAAAAATGGTGGCAAATGTTACGACGCTGCACATAGCCAGTCTCTTGGATAAAATGACATCTTCTGATAAAGATTTTCGGTTCATGGCCACGAACGACTTGATGACCGAATTGCAAAAAGATTCAATCAAACTAGACGACGAAAGCGAGCGTAAGGTTGTCAAAATGCTCTTAAAACTTCTAGAAGATAAAAATGGAGAAGTGCAAAATCTGGCAGTCAAATGTTTGGGACCTCTGGTGAACAAAGTTAAAGATGCCCAGGTAGAAACTATTGTCGATACATTATGTACGAATATGCTCTCAGATAAGGAACAACTCAGGGATATATCAAGCATTGGCTTGAAGACAGTGATTGGAGAGCTGTCCCCAGGTTGTTCAGGACTGGCCATCAATATATGCAAGAAGATAACAGGCAGACTGACGATTGCTGTATCAAAACAAGATGATATTTCCATTCAGCTGGAGACCTTAGACATTCTAAGTGATCTCTTAAATCGTTTTGGCAGTCTACTAACATCTTTTCATCCTGTCATGCAACAAATTTTATTACCTCATCTGACCAGTTCAAGACTGGCCATCAGAAAAAGAACTATAATGGCTCTATCCAACTTATCAACAACCAGCTCAAATCATTTGTTTGGTGAGCTAATCACATATTTGATGCATGAGCTGTCGAGGAATGCATCAATTTCCACAACAAGAACGTACATACAGTGCTTGGGTTCCATCACGAGACAGGTCTTTGAGTGTTTTTTCAACTACTGATATTATTTTTTTTATTATTTCATTTTTTCAGTCATTGTTCATATATGAAAAATTTTGTCATTAAAAAAACTGCACATTTGAGTTAAATTCAATTCAGTTGGGTTAGGTAGAAGTTATGTTGAAATATGTTGTGATGATAAAACAAGACAGCAAGATGAATATATGGATGGATAATTTTTCATATTTTTATAGCTCGACTTTTTAAAAACAAAATGTTTTTTTAACGAAACACAGTCAGGCCATAGAGTTGGAGAACATCTAGATCGAGCATTACCTCTAGTCACTCATTTATGTTCTCTGGAAAAGAAAATGCAGTCGACCAGCTCTGATGGTGATGACGACGAATTGAGGGAGTGTTGCATCCAGACATTGGAATTTTTTGTTAGAAGGTGCCCTAAGAACGTTGGTCCCTACCTACAAGGCATTGTCAAAATTTGCTTAGATTCCCTGGTCCACGATCCCAACTACAGCTATGGGAATGATGAGGAATGTGACATGGATACCCAGAAGGAAAAGGGTTATGGTGATGAAAATCAAGATGATGAGAACATAGCAGATGATGACCAAGAGGATGATCAGACTGATGATCAGAGCAGGTCGGATGTCGAGTACAGTGACGATGATGATGTTAGCTGGAAAGTTAGAAGGGCTGCTGCCAAATGCCTGGGTTCTATATTCTCCATCAGACATGATCTGCTGAATGAGTTCTATGAAGTTGTATCACCGGTTCTTATATCAAGGTTGCCATTGTTACTTGACTTTTAACTTTTTTGTTTTTATTGCTGTCTTCAATATTATGATAACATGAAATTTTTTTACTAAAACAGGTTCAAAGAGAGAGAGGAGAATGTGAAATCAGATATCTTTGCTTCCTACATATCCTTACTCCGCCAAACGAAATCAACAGCTGCCATCAGCATGACATCAGTTGCCACTGACGATGGCATGGAAGTCGTAGAAGGGCCCATTGCCCAACTGGCCTCTCAGGTGCCTAAAATTGTCAGGTTGGTTAGGTTTCAGTGATGTGCTATAATGTTTTAAATTTTTGAGATTCTTATTATATCTGAAAAATATAAATTAACCAGGGCAATACACAAGTTACTGAAAGAAAAAAGTGTAAAAACAAAGCAAGGATGTTTCTTGCTACTATCAGAGCTTGTTCAAACTCTCCCCGGCTGCCTGAAAGACCTCATGCATCTAGTGGTACCCGGCCTACAACATTCACTAATCGACAAATCTTCTAGCTCAACGATGAAGATTGAAGCCTTGTCTTTTTTGCACCTCTTGCTCGTGGCCCACAGTTCTGCTGTCTTCAGGCCTCACCTGACTTCACTGGTCCACCCTGTCATTCAGTGCATCTCCGATCCATTTTATAAGGTGGCATCTGAGGCCCTCCAGGTTGCACAACAGCTCGTTAAGGTTGGTCACTTGTTCTTTGATGTGCTTCTTATTTTGTTGTTGAAGTGGTTGTTTGTGATGCTATTTGTAAGCTGATGAAATGAATAATTATTTGAATGGAACGTGATTAACTTTACTATGCAGGTTCTTCGACCACTGGACAACAGCACTTCAGACTCCACTGCAACACCTCTCCATCAACAGTTCCTCTATGACATCTTTACAGCTTCAGTCAAAAGACTGTCAGCTACGGATGTAGACCAGCAAGTTAAAGAACGGGCCATTGGTTGCACTGCTCAAATCATCTGTCATGGAGCTGATATTCTTGGTCCAAATCGTCTGAACGCCTGTCTACCCATTTTCGTCGATCGCCTACGCAATGAAACCACTAGATTATCAGCAGCCAAGGCACTGGCTGCAATTGCTTCTTCACCACTTCACGTTCAGTTGTCGCCGATGCTCCTGGCTGACTGTGTTCCGCTGCTAGGAACATTCTTACGTAAGAATCAACGGGGATTGAAGCTCTGTTCTCTTCAATGTTTGGATGCATTGGCTCGTGGTGGCTATGTGTCGCCGACAACTGCTGGGGCATTTGATGCAACAACGAATGATGCAGCTGCGTTGGTGTCTGACCTCGATCTTCATGTTGCTCAGCTGGCTCTGCAGCTGTTGACGTCACTGTGCAAGATGGGCAGAGCTTCAAATGTCATCGGAGGTGAAAGTGTCGTCATTGGACAGGTCATTGGGCTGGTCAAGTCACCTCTTCTGCAGGTTAGTGGGTGGGTGCATTCTGCTGTGCATTTGCTAAACTTTCAAAGAGAAAATTGTTGAATCTTTCATGAAAATTTGTTGTGTTGTTTTTAGGTTTCTGTGTTACAATGTCATTTATGTTACTTTATATACATATTCATTTTCTTTGGTCCATTAATTTAATCTCTCAGGGTACAGTCCTACAGTCGGTGATGGATTTCCTGGTGGCACTGATGCATGCTCATGAACAGAATTCCACTTTGCTGGGGGCCTCATTCAGCCACCTCTTCAACCAACTGACTTATCCTGTGCACGAATCAGCAGAACACATGCAGCAGCAGCAGCTGCAACAATCACACGGCAGTTCACTTTCAAACATGATCCTTCACAAACAAGCCTACCACTCCATTGCCAAGTGTGTGGCTGTCCTACTCTACGAACAATCTGAAAGACACGGGTTGGCCTCCATAGACAATGTTATTGAGGGGTTCATTAGATCAATCAGTCAACCGAATGTTCCACACCCGGTTCAACTGATGGCCATATTGGGCATCGGTGAGGCAGGGAGGAAGTGCAAACTGGGTCCTGAGAAATGTTTCCGTCTCCAGAGGGCTCTAATTGATTGCTTCTCATCAAACAACGACGACATCAAGCAATCATCTGCCATCTCAATTGGAGCCATTGCTGTTGGAAACCTGGAAATCATGCTGCCGTTTGTATTAAAAGAGATTGAATTTCAGCCTGCTAAGAGGCAGTACCTGCTGCTGCATTCGTTGAAAGAGGTCATAAGCAGCTCCCAGCAACAACAGCAGCCGTCAACAGCAACTGCTGGCGGGGGCGGGGCTGGTAACAGCAGTGAGCAGCAACTAACACCTTATGTTCATACAATCTGGAACCTGCTGATGAAGAACTGCGAGTGTTCAGTTAGTACTTTCAATATCTTTTGTTTATTATATATTTTTGGTCCATCTATATCTGATTGTTATTTGTTAATGAGAGCACATGAACTGATCAAAGTTTGTTTATCAAACCAACCAATCAGGAGGAGGGCACGAGAAACGTGGTGGCCGAATGTCTCGGTCGTTTGGCTCTGTTGGATCCGGCTGGACTGATTCCGAAACTGAAGGACTGCCTGAAGTTCACCTCCCCCTTAGCCCGAAGTACCGCTATAGCTGCCGTGAAATTTGTGGTGTCTGATCAGCCGCAAGCCCACGATGGCCTTTTGAAGCAGTACATTGGTGAGTTTTTGAACGCTCTCCGAGATGAAGATGTTAACGTGAGGAGGGTGGCTTTGGTCGCTTTCAACTCTGTGGCTCATAATAAACCGGCTTTGGTTAGTTAGATGGTTGGATGGTTAGTTGGCTGGTTGGATGAATGGTTGATGTGTGCTTATAATGCCTGATAATTGAAATATTTATTCCAATAACTATGATCTAAAATATCGCAAACCACCAATTAACAAATCAATCATTTTCAATCAATCAATTAATCATCTTCAATCAATCATCTCCAATCGACCAATCAGATGCGAGATCTTCTGCAGGACGTACTGCCCGACCTCTACCAGGAGACGAAGATTCGCAAGGAGTTGATCAGGGAGGTCGAGATGGGACCTTTCAAGCATACAGTTGATGACGGATTGGATATCAGGAAGGTGTGTTTCAGTGATTGGCTGGTTGAATGATTGGTTGAATGCTCAAGTGACAAATCTATTAATCATCTTGTTGATTGTATGGACACATCATACACACACCCTTATTTATAATAGTCTTATAGTTTGGCACTAATAGATCAGTGACACGATAAAACATCTAAACCTAGCTCTCTTACTCTATGAGCTCTCTTGCTAGCCATATAAACGTGCAGTACAAATAGATAACCTAGATAATTTGCAACTCCAACAGGCAGCCTTCGAATGCATGTACACCCTGCTGGATGCATGTCTGGAGAAGGTCGATATCTTTGTGTTCCTCCAGCATCTCGAAGAGGGATTGAACGATCATTACGATATTAAGATGCTTACATACCTTATGCTTGTTAGGTGAGGATGATGGGGGTGTGATGGTGCTGGTTGGGTTGGTGATTGTAATGTGAATTTAGGTGTGGTTCTTTCATCTTCTTTCGTTCACGTTATTTATCAATTAGTTTATTCATTCGTTGATTCATTCAGACCTTCATCCATCCATCGTTTCATTCATCCGCTCGTGCATTCATTCTTTTATAAATTCATCCATCCATTATTTCGTCCATTCATCTATCACTTCATCTATTCATCCATCATTCCGACTTAGATTATCCCATCTGTGTCCAGGAGCAGTGTTACAGCACCTGGATAGGATCATTGAGCCCTTGAAAGCTACCTGTATGAGTAAGGTAGGTAGGTAGGTACGTGATGTGATGCAAATGAACAGACTGACTGACTGGTTGGTTGGCTGGTTGATTTGATTGGCTGGATAGTTGTTAACGATCTTTGAATAATTAATTTTTACGTTAATCAATCCGGCAACAAACCAATCAACCGACCAATCAAATAACCTCGGCCACAACTCATCGACCAATCAGGTGAGAGCGACCTCAGTGAAGCAGGAATTTGAGAAACAGGATGAACTGAAGAGGTCAGCCATGAGAGCTGTCGCTGCCCTAGCCCTTATACCAGACGCTGGTCGGTGGTAGTGATGAGGATAATGATGGTGGTGAGAATAATGATTGTGATATTTTCAACTCATTTTTTTCTATTTACCTCAGACAAATGTCCTCAATTCATGGAGTTTGTTGGTCAGATAAAGATGAATGGCGAGCTGTCGGCCATCTTGGAAAGTATAAAAGAGTCCTCGTCATCGTCGTCGTCAGCCGCTTCGACTTCAGCTGCTGCTGCTGCTAATGATTTGATGGATATAAGCTGAACGTGTCGACTGACGATGATTTTGATGGTGATGATGACGACGACTCCCGTGTGCGTGCGTGCGCGTGTGTGTGTGTAATCTTATCTCGACACGGGTTTCATTCTGCGCTTATATTTGTAATGTTTGATAGAAACACAAAACTTTTCAGTTGAGAGCAAAAAGTGAGTTTATTATTATTATTTATTGTTATTATTGTTGTTATTGTTATTAATATTATTGTTGTTGTTATCAAGTTTCAGCTGTTCGTTCTGAAATCCACTTAGTCAGCTAACATTAAGACTAAGTAAATCGGATATATATATATATATATATTATTGTTATTATTGTTGTTATTATTATTGTTGTTGTTGTTGTTATTATTATTACTGTTATTATTACTCTGAAAAAACTAAAACATAAACTCACATTTTGTTCAAGAGATGAAAATGAAACAAACGCATTATAACCTCTGATACAAAAGTAAAAATAATAATAATAATATTAACTTCTATATAAATAATAATAACAATATTAATAAACTAATTATTTTATAAGAAATAATTATTATGATTGTTGTTGTTGTCGCCGGCCGAATTGGTAAATGTATCAAACAATCAGTGAGTAAGTCTTATTTTAACTAGTGTGATAATGGTAATAAAAATTAACCACGATTTACAAAGGACGAACGTTTAAAAAAAAATACCTAATTAAAATAGCAATAATAGTAAATAAAATCTTATTAACAGATACTTAATTATAAATACAATCTTATTAACAAGTAATTGTAGTCATAAATATAATTTTATTAACAAATAAATACTAAATTATAGTTATAAATACAATCTTGTTAACAAATAATTATAGTTATAAATACAATCTTGTTAACAAATAATTATAGTTATAAATACAATCTTGTTAACAAATAATTATAGTTATAAATAAAATCTTGTTAACAAATGCCAAGAAAGACAAAGTAACAAGAAGAAAATGTAGAAAGAAAATTTGCAAGTTGAAAATTCCCGTTTTGAAAAATTTTGCCACCATCGTGATACTATATCATGATACAATATCATGATACCATCTCATGATACAATCATCGCTTAATCATTATCCCCGACACCAACATAACCATCACCCAGTTTTAATCATTTTAAATACCATCGTCAATATTTTTACTATCATTATTATCGTCGTTGTTCAGCAGCCAATAGTATTATCGATATGAAGGTGCGTAAAATGTGACGTCATTCATCTTTATCATTTCATCATCATGGTTCGTGCGACATCACATAACTATGACGTCATCGTCGTATCTTCATCACCCCATCATCATTGCATCACAATCATCATCGTCATCATCATTTTCTTCCTCTTTACAGAGGAATATTTCCATGCTTCTTCCAGGGATTTGACTGCTTCTTGCTAGCCAAGACCTCCAAATCCAGGCACAACCTACGCCTGGTCTGTCTGGGATCGATGACGTCATCGACGTAGCCGCGGGTGCTTGCCGGAAACGGATTAGCGAACAGGTCGATGTACTCCTTCTCGTGTTCGGCAGAGCCCTGATCACCTCGGAAGATGATTTTAACGGCGGCTTTGGCGCCCAGGACGGCGATTTCGGCTGTGGGCCAGGCGTAGTTGAGGTCGCCACGCATGTGCTTGGAGTTCATGACGCAGTAGGCACCGCCGTAGGCTTTCCTCGTGATGACAGTTATCTTCGGGACCGTGGCCTCGGCATAGGCGTAAATCAGTTTGGCTCCGTGTCTGATGATTCCGTTGTGTTCCTGGTCTGTACCTGGATGGCGATGATGAGGACGACGACGATGGTGATGATGGCTACGACGATGAAGTACAAACACACAGAGACAAACAGACAGACAGAGAGGCGGAAACTAACCAGGCAAGAAGCCAGGCACGTCTTCAAAGGTGATGATGGGTATGTTGAAGGCATCACAGAACCTCACAAATCTGGCTCCCTTAACTGAGGCGTCAATGTCAAGACAGCCTAAAGAAATTATGACATAATTATTATATTTATTAAAATTATACATAAATACACTCATAAGCACCGATATATTCACAAATGCAGAAGTCTAAATATTTTTATTTGACCTTGTACAAAACTGTAAAATCAAGGTAACTATTTATGATATTAATTATAATTGATTATTATGACTATAATTTTATTTAATTATTACAATAATTACCGGCGGCCACTTTCGGTTGGTTGGCGACGATACCGACGGTTCTGCCGTTCAATCTACCGAATCCGACGATGATGTTCATCGCGTACTTCTGGGCTATCTCGAAAAATTCACCATCGTCAACGACCTAAGTGAATGAATGAATGAATGAACGAATGAATGAATGAATGAATGAATAAATAAAAAAACGAACTAACAGATGAATGAACCGCTAAAAATAGAATAAAGGAAACGAACGAAAAAATTTTATTTGAAATCGGCCGAAAGAAAGTTCAGTTTATTCAATCAAACAGCTGAATTTCAGAGAACGAATGAATGAATGAATGAGTAAGCAAGTGACCAGTTGAATGAATGGCCATTCACAATTACTCACCCCTTTGATGACGTCATTCATGTCGTAGGCTGTCATGCTTTCCAAGGGCACCACAGTGTCTAGGACGGGCGCGTCTCTATCCCTTAAATAGCAATGTCAAGGCCATTCGACATTCCATTCATTCATTTATTTGTCGTTTGTTCTATTTTTTTTCATTGATTGATTAATTTATTCGTTCATTCGTACATGCATATATAAAAACTTGAATGCACACAGTACAGACATACGTAGACATACAAACCGACACACACAAACACACACACACGCACACACACAAACACACCAAGGGTCATCTGTTCTTCTGATTGGAGGCTGTTCTCTATTACTCAATGGCAGATAACTGAAGAGCTCTCTCATCTTCAGTAAGGCCTCTATATCATTATCATAAGCTCCGTGCGCACACCCTAGCACAAATTTCGTCACAATTAATAATAATAATAACTATTATTATTATAATTGTTATTGTTTTTATTATTATTATTATTATAATTATTGTTGCTGTTATTATTAACGGACTGACCGGAAACAGCAGTGTGTGTCTTCGATCCGCCCAGCTCTTCCTGTGTTACGTCTTCGTTCGAGACCGCCTACCAATCAATCGATCGATCGATCGATCCATCCATCCATCAATCAATCAATCAATCAATCAATCAATCAATCAATCAATCAATCAATCAATCAATCAATCAATCAATCAATCAATCAATCAATCAATCAATCAATCAATCAATCAATCAATCAATCAATCAATCAATCGATCAATCAATCAATCGATCAATCGATCAATCAGCCAATCAATCAATCAATCAACCAGCCAACTAATCAGCCAGCCAGGCAGCCAAGCAACGAACTCACCTTGACAACATCGGGTCCAGTGATGAAGAGGTACGAGGTGTCTTTCACCATGAATGTGAAGTCAGTGAGAGCCGGAGAGTAAACAGCCCCGCCTATGATAAAAATTATTATCATTATACTAAAAATAATAATAATAATCGTCAGATCATGTTATCATTTTTAAAATATAAAATAGTCATCGTCATAATCTTCGTCCTTATCATCACAACAATCAGCTCTAAACACTATCACCATCATAACCATCTTTACTATCGTCATCATCTTCATCCTCATCTTCATCATCATCCTAACCGGCACACGGTCCCATGATTAGTGACAGCTGGGGTATGACTCCGGACGCCATGACATTATTCTGGAAGATTTCGGCGTAACCGGCCAACGAAGCCACGCCCTCTTGAATTCTAGCCCCGCCCGAATCGTTCAGGCCAATAACTGGCGCACCAACCAGCATGGCTTGTTCCATTACCTGCGACGTGATTGGTTAGATTTAAGTTTGTTGAGGGTGTATTATTGTTTGCTGGCTTGCTATTGGTCTATTGGTCGATTTTTAATTGGATTGGTTGATATTGGTTGGATGATGGTGGCTTACTAATGGTTTATTTAGATGAATGGTGACCTTCTATTGGCTGATTTGAATAGTGGTTTGCAATTGGCTAGTTTGTACAATTGTACATAGCTGCTAATAGATCTATAATTTACGAAAAAAACAAACATAACAATGATACAAAAATGATATACAATAATAGATACATACAAACAAATACACAACAGATATACAACAGATATACAATAGATATACAATAGATATATAACAGATATACACAAGAGATATACAACAAATATACCACCAATAAAATACAATTAATGAATGAATGCTTATGATGAAAATATAATACTATCCACCTTACAAATCTTCTTAGCATGAACGTAGGACAAACTGCCACCAAAGACAGTAAAATCCTGCAAAGAAAAAATGATTTTTAAAACATTATTAAATAAAATCACTTCTACAAAATTGTAATTAATGTCGTATAAGAGAAATTTTAAAGAGAGAATTAATTAAAATAGTAGAAGAAACAGTTCAAGTAATGATGATAAAGAAGATGAAATAAAATTGGTGATGACATCGCGATGACATCATCATAACGTCATGTCTCACCTGACTGAAAAGATAGCAGGGTCTTCCGAAGATCTTAATTCTTCCAGTAACAACACTATCACAAGGGAACTAAAGATAGAAAGCAACTAATGAAACGTTATTTCTTTTAAAAATACTTTTCAATATTATTTTAATATTAAATTATAAAATAAAAAAAAAAAAAATTATTAAAATTGAGTAAAAATCTAAGTTTACTTTTTGTTTCTCCATATTGAAATCAGTGCAACCATGCTCGACCAGCTGGTCATATTCGACAAAGGAATTCCTATCACTGAGAACTTCTATGCGCTCTCTGGCCGTCAATTTTCCCTAAAAATAAATTTTAAATAATAAAAAGAAAAAGAAGAATAAAAAAATTATAAAAAAAATAATAAAATAAAGTATTTGTACCCTTTTATGTTGTGATTCAATTCTTTTCTGACCACCACCCTGTAGCGCTTTGCTCTTCTTCTCATTAATTTTCTTCCTAACTTCCAAAGTCAGCCTGGCCGATTCCTCGTTGGCCGAAGCAGCCGTCGACCACCTTGCAGGTATGATCGAAGTCGTACGAGCTATCTGGTCGCCTAATTTTAGGGATTTCACAACTCCTGTTCTTAGCATCTTGCTGTTTGCTTGATGTGTTTGTGTTAGACTGCTGTGTTAAGTTAGGTGGGGCTCGAATTTCAGAACCTATTCAAGAAATTATGAATTTACACTGAAAAATACAGTTTAAGTATTAATTTTGTAATTAATTTTATTTAATTTATAAATAACTTTAGTTTTTTGTAGCATTTGTAGACAAAACAGTAACTAAAACTGAAAAGACGAAAAAAGGTTATTGCAACCATAGCATCGGTGAAAAAACTTTATGAATATAACATACGAAATAATGACATTGAAAGATAAAATTATAAAACTGTACATTAATGATTAACAAATCGGAAAATCTAAAAAACAACCCAAAAAATCAGCTCAGATATTTAGAAATTTCACTAATCTGACACCGACCTAACTGAAAAAATTTCTATATTATGACCTTTTATCTTTAACACGGCCTTCAACTTGACCCTGCAAAATTTATTCTGGTAAAATGCTGGAATGCATTTATGATGGGAGTAATTTTTCAGTAATTTAAGGCTAAAAATTGTGAATTGTAAACTACAACTCAATTGAAATTCTTCGTAAGAAAGATTGAAAAATTAAATATTGATAAATGCTGTGACATTCCTAAACTGTACACACACACATACACACAGATATATATATATATATTTATATATTTTTACAATATTCTATAAATTCTACCGAATGTTTGGCGTTAATATGTTATAATATGACATATTAACGCCAAACATTCGGTAGAATTTATAGAATATTGTAAAAAATATGGTCTATTACCAACATATATATATATATATATATATATATATATATATATATATATATATATATATATATATATATATATATACACACACCCATGTTCCTAAAATCGTCAACATAAATAAAATCTATAAGAAAAAAAAGCAAAAATGTGGAAAGCCGCGCCATGCCATACACAGCTAATCTAACGATTCATTACAAGAGAGAGA